GCAATCCGAAACGGAGTTTAGAGTGGACTCTGACCGCCTTCAAAGGATGTCCCCCAGGCATCCGCAGGGTGCCTTCCAGGCACTGCGCGAGGGTTTTAGTCACCGAGAGCGGGGGCTTTGCTGTGAGGTGTGTGCTGAAAATGCGACTGTTCAGAGAGCTTTGGGTTGGGTGGGTGGTTCCCATGGGAATGCGACCTCCTCGGCACTTTCCCGCACCCCCCCGCAAGCTCCGCCCGATTCCTTGAGGGCTTAAAGGTCGGATTGCAGCAGGAGCACTAGCCGTGGGCCAGGAGCTTTAGCTACGATCGACCTGTCAAAAGGGCCTCAATGCCATGCAGATGCCAACATTTTCCAAGGGGCGCCGGCTTTTTTGCGCATGGGCGTGACGTACTGGGTAGATGTGGAAGTCGTACCGCAAGGCGGCAGTTGTGCGTCCAAAGCCTTTGGTTGAAGATGGTTTTAGACTGTGCTACAGGTCCTTGGGAAAGGCAATCGCGAAGGTACACTTCTGCGACAGACACAAACCCACTCGGTTTAGGGTTTAGGGTTTTGGGTTTTGGCCCCCCATAAACACGAAGCACCAGCGCGGCCCCGCAACCGATGCGTGGCTGCAAGCTCGTCGATGTGACCAAGTAGCACCCGGAACATGCACTTGGCACACTTGGCAAGACTGGCACGACGAGTCTTGATGAGCGAGGTGTCCAAGCCTGTGCGGTCGAAACCCGGATGCCACCTGTGGAGCCAGGTTCGGCCAAGCAGACAGGCAACGCGGCATCGAAAGCTTTCGTTGATCTGAGCACGGGGAGACAGGCAGGGAGAGCAAAAGCTGTGGATGCTCACATCATCCCGGCTTGCAGCATGGGCTTTCTGCAAGTTTCATTCGAGCGCAAAGCTCCCGTGGCCCTGGTCCTTGGCTTTACGCATGGAGGCTCGCGAGGCTTGTTCTGTGTGCTGTGGGGGTAGACACCTTCTGCCGAAGGAAGTGTTTCCAGGGGCCAGAGCCCCCAAAACTGTACCCTAAACCTTGGCAATTGGCTATTGCTTCAGTGCCCTCGAGAAGCAGGGCACGCGCGCGCGCGCAGAAGATTGTTCAAAGAGGGCTGGCTACCCTAAGTCGGGGCGGAGGTTCCAGGTTTCGGGGTGGTGCCGAACCCCTTGAAAGATTGAGTTTTTTTCCGCAGGGACTGAGCTTGCTGCTTAGACTGCTGCGGGTGCTGGTTGTTACGCATGTCGGTCGGGCTGGTCCAAGAATGACCCGAAGTGCCAAGTTTAACAAACATGTAGACTTGGGTTTTAGGCTGGTTGCAGGTCGGACCTGTAGAGCTGCCCCGTTTTTGACGCAGGTTGCGCATGTTTTGACGGGGTCAGAGCAGCCATGATCTGCGCTGGACAAGTTCGCGGCATCCTCCAACAATCAGCTTGCAGCCTCCTCATATTGCACGCGAGGGCCCGTCAGGAAACACCATCTTGCTTCCAGCGCAGGGCTCATGCGAAAGCTCATGTCCCCCTGAGAGTTGTTTTTTGTGGTACAGGGGCTGTGCAGACAGAGAAAAATCGAGCCAGCGTTGCGACAATGTTGAGGATATCGGGGGGAAATCCAGGGTATGGCTTCCTTATGAAGGAGCCGGGACCTTCCCAAGATCCAGCCAGAGGCTTCCTTAGCCTCCTTGCATCCTAAGCATCAAGGACTCCGTTTCTTCAGGATCCACCCGGGGTAATTTAGACATCCGGGCTTCGAGGGCTGAAGTCACTGGGATTGCTGCCCTTTTGCCCTTGAGGTTAAAAAAAAACAGACAAGGTGCCGCAACCTGGGTGGAGTCCAGCTCCCTAAGCCGGCTATGCCCTCATGATTTCTTAGGGCCTCGGGCCCTGGCGCTAAGACCTGAGCCCTCAGACCCAGGCCCGGCCCCTTTCCGGGGTCGGCTGGGCCATGCTGTCTGGTGCCGGCTCGCAAGCAACCGCGAGGCACTTCTGCGTGAGTGAGCAACGCGGCTCCATAGCCGTGTAAGCAGTTGGCCCTTGCATTCGATTGCCAGGCCTGGGACCCTAAGCCACATCATCGGTCGCACCGAAGGCTGCCAGTGTCAGGTAAGATGTTCAGGCAGACGCCTGCCAGGGCGTGAGAAAAGGGAGGTGGCCTGCTGGGGCCCCAGCAGTTGTGTGCAAAGTGACGGCACTTGATTCAGGCACCGTACCCCCTTGGCTCTTATCGAGGCTGGCACTCACCGAGGCCTCACATCACCCAGAGGCGGTGCTGTCGTGTCATTTTGGGTGGCCTTCAAAGGCCGCGGTGCGCTGTGCTGCCTTGTAAGCCCTTGCCTCACCTGAAGCCCGAAAGTCTCCCACAAGTCCTTGAAGACTTGAGGACCCTAAGCCCGAAGCCCAGAAACCCTATAGCCCAGCCGCCCACAACAGCAGCCTCCCGGCTCCACAACGTGGCCTCCGGCAGGTTCCCTGGGAGCATGTGCTCTTGGTCTTTAATGGAAGTCGCCCACGCTCTGCCCCAAAAATGAGGTTCGCACCATGCGCAGCTCCCCGTCGGATCACTCCGCCCTCTGAGGTTCCCCTCACTTCTGTGTGTTGGAAACTGTTGCCTGGAAGAAGCCGCTCCATCGTCAAGGTACTCTCAAGAGGTCTTGGGGGCCTAGGAAGTGGCGCGGTTGCACCTACTCCGGCTTGCTGAAGCCGCCTGGTTGTAAGGCCTTCGTTGGGGCGTCGAACCCAAGTTGGGTCCCCTGGTTGCATTCTGGGAGGAAGCGGCATCCACTCAGCTGCTCCGCTCCATTGCTGCATACTACGCGCCTGTAGGGCTCTGGGCTTCAGGGTTTCGGGCCTAGGACTTTTGGTTCTGCATCCGCAATGGCGCCACGGCGCAAGGCCATTTTCGGACCTTCATCCCGCCTGCGATGCATTGTTGCGGGCCACCACGTCGCTCCGCCCCCCCCCCCCCCCCCCCCCCCCCCCCCCCGGAAACGAGAAAAACGCAGACAGTTGAGAGCGGTTCCGGGCTGAGGACCCCTTATAGAGGCGACTGCAAAGCTTCCTTATCAAAGAGCCCTCCGCCTCTCCCCTTCCCAAAAGCAGCCTCACCTGGAGGTTGAGAGAGGCACCCTGCACACAGCGCCCAAGCATCCGCGGCATTCGGTGATCTGCTCTTGATCTAACAGCATTGGGGGACGCACGATAGCAGAGGGGCACCTCCCGAAGGGATTCGTGCTTGTAGTAGCAGAACCCTGGCACAGCTCCAGGACCCAAGCTTCCGATGAAAATCGGCAAGAATCTACGCCTGCGAGCTTGCAGGCATGGGGTGGCCAGAGCAGTGGAATCAGGGTGTGGTACCAGCAGTCGAACGACGCGGAGCTGATAGAAGAGGTGCTTCCTGTTGTGTCCTGCTGCATCTTGGGGCCAACCTCAAATCTCCAACGACCTGCAGTTCGGGTGCTCTGCGCAGGGGCTTGAGCAAAAGCCCCCAAAGCTCCTCAAAGCTCCCCAAACGCCCCCCAAAGCCCCCCAAAGCCCCCAAAGCCCCCAAAGACTCCAAAGCCCCTAAAACCCTAAAACCCTGAACCATAAGAAGGCTTTGGGATCCTGGACGGAAAGTGTGGGCACAAACGCCAGGCCCGGCCGGCTTGGCCTCCGGGTCTCTTTCCGGCAGCGCGCGGTAAGCAGGTGCAGCCATCAGTTCGGCCTTTCCTTTCCATGCACCGTCCTCACGTCTCTCCCAGACGACATGGAGCTCTCAGTGGCAGATGGGTTCGGAGCATCTTGGGATTGCGATGGCGCAAGGTCTGCCAGTTGAAGGAAGGGCCGGTTGCTACACTCAGAGCCCGAGGTCAGAACAATTCTTTGTGATACTTGAAATCCACGGGGGGAAGAACAAGCCAAAGTCGAAGCAAACAGCATGCCCCCTGCTGTTGCCGCAATTTTTGTGGGCCCACATCCAGACCCAGGCACCGGCAGTTCGTGGGATGTTAAGTGCATGTTCTTGGCAGGGCGTTTGTAGCAGCGTCTACTCGGGCAAGCCACTAGTTGTTATGACTTCTTACAGTGCCGCTCTCCAAGGCATGCCATTCTTGGCATATCCTGCTCATGCGTGTTGTGCGCTGCGCCGTCTACTTGGGAACACCAAGTTTTGTTGTGACCCTCGCAAAAAAGTCGTAGCCATGCGTCTGGTTGCGGGAAGGCTTCCGCGGTTGCAGTTGCCAGTCCATGGCTTGCGGAGGTGGGTTTTGCAAGGCTGCCGTGTGTTCCCCGAAGTTGCGAAGGGCGCTCTGTGTCTGGTGCCAAAGGCCGGTCGCCCACCCTTCAGGCCGCGACGTGGGCTTGGTTTCGTGACCCAGGCCCAAGACGCCGTTTGAATTGGCTCTACCTGGGCGCAGCGGATGCTGTCCTGGTATCATCGTAGCCCGGAGCACGAAACCTTGTAAGGCCTCGAAGCCCTCAAAACCCTAAGTCTTCGACCCCCTAAGCCGTACCACACCCCAGATGTCCCGCCTCTGGCCTTCAGTGCAGCGGCCCTCAGGGTTCAACCCTTCACCCTTGCAACAATCGGGGGGACGGCTGTTCTTCCGCCGTCGAACGTATAGCGTCGCAGGCACGGTTCCGGGGAGGCCGTGCTTCCCCGCTTCAAGGGCTGCTCTGGCTGTGCGGGGAAGCTTGTCCTGAAGTGTGGGTTCCTCTTTGGCCGTGCGGCGCCCTGAGCCGGTGTTGCGAAGCCTGAAGCCACCTTACGGATCTGCAAGGCCGGATGGACGCCTGAGGTGCCATGGGCTGCACACCTCAGCAGCTTACTGAGGGTTTAGGGTTTGGGGCCTTTCAAGGCGCTAGCTTCCGAGTGCGCACGTCTGCGCACAGAGGCCTGAGCCTGCGCACGGTCGGGCCCGAAAGACACCGAAAGGCTCTTTGGGGGACCCTTTGTGGGACTCTTGAGCAGAATCTGAGGCTTCTGGTCATGTTGGTCCCTACTTTCAGGTCGATGCACGACCTGAACCTTGCACGTCTCATGAGAGGAGCCTCACTGGCCGCCCATCCCATCGTCCCGCAAAAGCCGTCTGCGCATCGCGGCCATCTCTTCGTGCTGGCTGCGTGTGATACTGCGCTGTGCCACGCACATGCCAGAAGAGCGGGTGTAAGTTTTCGGACACAGCGCCTGCAAGCACCTGGACTGGTTCTTGTGATGGCCTGGGCTGGGCGAAAGCGTTCGCTCTGCCTGGCGCTGGCAGAGCCCTGAAGCCTCCAACAGCCAGGGGCACGGCCGGTGGTGTGCACATGAGGTTCGGGAAGGGCGGAGACCACTTGAAGCGCAGCTTGGCCATGCTTCTCGAGGCATGTGTCGCCTTTTCTCAGAAAGCCATGGGAGGCACAGTTGCTGTGCATTTCACTTAAGGGGTGTAAGAGGTTTGAGTCAAGTGAAAGCCCCAGGCCAAAGGCCTTGAAGCTTCAGGGTTCCCGGGTCCACGTAGTAGAGGTGCCCTGCAAACGAGGTGCGGCAACTGTTGCCATAGCGCTTTTCTTTTGGTTAGGGGAGACTCGGCGTCGTAGTTCGCAATTCTTGACAGGATGGAGGTCCAAGTTTGTCTGGCACTCGGCGTTTTTGCCGGATCTTAGGCTGCCCACGATATTCGCACCGGCGCCGCCCCTGGTCTCCCGAGCATTTTTGAGGCGCGGCGGTTGCTTAGCCGATCAGGCTCCTATCCAAAACGCAGCAGTTGTGGCCCTGGATTATGGGGAAGGTCACGCAGACCACGCCCTGCAGTCCCTTGCCCGTCCTTTCAGCCAGAAGCCGTAAGCCAAGAGTTTGGGAGCGAGCCCCCATCGCTCCACAGAATCTCCCGAATTCTGAGCCTTGAGGCCATGGCTCTAAGATCCCTGAAGCCCAACACCTTCCTAAATAGCCCTACACCCTCTGCCCCCTGCCATACCCCTGCCCATGCTTGAAGAGCCGTACCAGCCGGCCCCGGCTTCTTGGTAGAAGCCCGGTGGCCTTGGGCGCCTTGTGGCTGCTTGGGGAGTTGGAGGGCTTTTGGGGCCCCAGGGTCTTAGGAGTGAGGGCTTCCGGGTGGAAGGCAGCCCTACAGAGGTTGCGATGCCCACCCAAACGAAGGTCTGCGATAGGCGCCCAGGGAGGGCAGATGCACCACGGGAGCTGCGAGTCGTCCCGCTGCTGGCTCCTGGCGTTGGCTTGCGCCTGAGCAGTTGATCGTTTGCAGTCGTTCCTGTTCCGTCTGAAGCCAGCCATCCTGCGATGGCCGGTCGAGTAAGAAGATCCCACAAAACAGTTTTGAGTAGTTCTTTCAGCCTTTTGCAGAAGCCTCCAGTTCCAGACTCTCCTTGTAAGTGGCCTCAGGGCCTTAAGGATGGCTTTTTGTTGACGACTGCTTTTCAACATGATTGGACACACCGGAGAGCTAAGTGCCCTTCCTATTTCTCCCGTCTGTCCCTACCCGAGACGCCTGAACGGGACCGCTGTCTGGAAGGCAGCAGCCCTTGCTGGCAGCTGCACTGTGATAGCGCAGTGGGTCACAGCCGATCTGCCCAACTCTCTACCTTTGCCTAGAGGTCACATCACTACGGGTTTGGGTTCTGGGGGGTTTAGGGTCTAGTTTAGTCAGGTGGGCGTCCGCATGCGAGAGGAGCTTGAGGGCCGTGAGAAGGAGGGCCGGGCGCATGGGACGGCGGCCCTCATGGCGAACCTTCGACGAGGCAGGTGGGAACCAACGCCCTACGCCCTCAACCATTCGGGTTCATCCCTGAAGCCTAAACCCCCAAGCCCCTGAACCCTCAACCCTCAAATCCCTATGAATGTATGTCTAGGGGCCCATACGTAAGACGTTCAGAGGATTGATCCTTGGGAGGGGTGCCTTGGTGAGGTCACCTGACATGATCTCCCACGCTCCGCGGGGCCACTTGGCTGTGCGTCACGTTCAGCAAGTTAGCTAGGTAATCGTAGCAAAAGTTATTGCTTTATTTATGAACATATATATATATATGCTACCCCCCCCAGCGACCTACCCTTTTTAGCCCTTTTTAGGCCTTTTTCGGCCTTTTTAGGCCTTTTTAACAAAAAACAACAAAGAAGGCCCAATAGTCGCGTAGTTAATCACCGGGTAATGAAGGACAGTTAGTGGGACACCCACCTCACAGACCCCGATAAGCCAGCATTGGAAGAATCTACATTTTGAATCTGAAGCGGACAATGCTGTTTTTAGATGTTTAGATCAGTGTTTTTCTATGCAAATTGTGCCTTTCAAGGGCAATTAATGTTTTGTTGAGCAACTAATTTATTTATACAATTGTGTTTGTACGAGGCAAAGTATTAATCAAATGGTGACACATTTTTCTTGGTTCTATGCGAATTTAGCTACTAGAGTAATTATTCAGCAAAGAGCCCAATTTGACTCAAGTGAATACTATTTAAAGGAGCATACTCAACCAAGATACGAAATAAACACCATTCTCAACCAAAACATGGCAAAGTGTGCGTTTAAAGTGCAAATACTGTATTTATACAATTGTGTCTGTACTAGGCAAAGTATGCTCTCTGAAAAGTCCACTGAAATACCTTATGTTTACATATTCATGAATCGTTTTTATTTTTGAAATAATCATTTTATGCGAATTTAGCTACTAGAGTAATTATTGAGCAAATAGCCCAATTTGACTCAAGTGAATACCATTTAAAGGACCATACTCAACCAAAATACGAAAGACGCACCATATTCAACCAAAATATGGCAAAGTGTGGTTTAAAGGGCAAATAGTGCTTTGTTGAGCAACTAATGCATTGAAACAGTTGTGTTTGTACCAGGCAAAGTATTATTGAAGTACTATCTGCAAAGTCAAATGAAACACCTTATGTTTGCATATTCATGAAACAACTTTTTTGAAGTATTCATTCTATGCGAATTTAACTACTAGAGGAATTCTTAAGCAAATAGCCCAATTTGACTCAAGTGAATACTATTTAAAGGACCATACTCAACCAAATGCGAAATAAACACTTGCGGAAATGGAAACGGTTCTACCTACATAACAATGAGACAAAGATTGCTGAAGTATTCACTAAAGACCACTTCTATACTATGTCTGAAAAGCACAATTTGCATGATCAAGCTTAAAAATGCACAATAATGGAAATAGAAGCGGTTCTACTTACATAACGATGAAACAAAGATGTCTGAAGTATTCAATAAAGACCACATATATACTATGATTGAAAAACGCAACTTGCACAATCAGGCTTAAAAAATGCACAAGAATCCTAGAAAAGTACATAGTGAAGGCCATACACAAGCAAATTCACAAATACATAAAAACATCCAAAAGCGCAAGCTTTTCAGGAGAATCTCTGGTAAAGTTTGGATTATAGGGTTCTGGGGTATTCCTGGACGAGTAGGCGTCACTTTTTAAGCAAACAATTCTAGGCAATAAATGCTTTTTCTCAAGACAAGTATTGCAAATGCTGCTTCTAGATAATTAATCGCATTTACCAGGCAAATATTATCCATGCGAATTGAGCTACCAGAGCACCAAGCAATGGCTGAATAAGGTCTACTACACTTGAGTACAATCAAAAGATGCACTAAACACTAGCGGCTCTACTTACATAATAACGAAACAAATAGTTCTGAAGCACTAGAAAGACCACTTGTATACTATTTCTGAAAAGCACAATTAGCATAAGCACACTTAAAAATGCGTAGTTGTTGCCTCGTGACCGTGAAGGCGAACCAAAAAGCCAAAAAACCAAAACCAAAAAACCAAAAAAACCAAAACCAAAAAAAACAAAAACACCAAAACCAAAAAAACCAAAAATACCAAAAAAACCAATTTTCCGGGACTCTTGGCCTCATAGGGATTTCCTGAGAGTCCCGGAAAATTGTTTTTTTTGGTATTTTTGGTTTTTTTGGTTTTGTTTTTTTTGGTTTTGGTATTTTTGTTTTTTTTGGTTTTTTTGGTTTTGGTATTTTTGGTTTTTCTACAGTCCCGTGTATGCGATTTTAGTTGTATTTTAGTCTACGCCCTAGGAAATACGCTATATTGCACACCGAGTTTGCTTGCAGTGCAGCTGGGTGACTTGAGACAAGGCGGAAAAGGGTAGGTCACTGGGGGGGGGGGGGGGTACCATATATATATATATGTGTATATATATATATATACATATATAAGCTACCCCCAATACCCATTCATATTCAATAGGCGCCTGTCGTAGGGCATTGAGGTTTTGTTATGAGTACGAGGAGCCGTTATTCAATGCAACTGTACTCAGTGGCTAGTAGGTACAGCAAAAATCCTGTAGACCCTGGGCAGAGATGTTTGGAATGGGTTTTAGTACTAATGCGCCGGTCACAATTCATGTCTTGTGGGGTTTTGGGTTTAGGGTTTAGGGTTTCGGGTTTAGGGTTTAGGGTTTAAGGTTTAGGGTTTTGGGGCGTCCAGGGCCTGCATGCTTGCAAATGGTCGCGTTTGAGATTGGGGGATCCTTGGAGTTCGCAAAGGGAAAAGTTGCACATGAGGATGCTGATTTTTATTTTGGGGTTCAGGGTTTAGGGTTTAGGGCTTAGGGACGAAGTTGATACTCGTAGGTGCTACGAAGGGGTGGTGAGCGGCTAGCGGCGTTCGGGCTGTTGGCGGGTGTGCCTGGTTCGAAGGATGGCGCTGTAAGGACTTGGCAAGAATGTGGACTCGTAGACATGGATCACGTTCTGTGGGAACTTTTGGAAATGGTCCAAGGTCCCAAACAGCGCATAAGACCTTCTATTCCTATTATATTACTCGTAGCTGGCTGCAAAGGTCAAGGAATCCTTCACTAGTTTACGGTTTAGTTTTTATGGGCTGTGCGTTCTGCATCCTAGCCCTTGTTCATTTGGCTGTTCATGCAGGGCCCGTTGAACTACGGATCCAAGACTCTGCGTCGCGGAGCGATGACATGTCACTTTGCTTGTATTCTCCTTTTCCTTTTGTTCTTTCTTTCTTTCTTTCTTTAATGCATCACTCACTACTCACCACTCACGCACTGACGCACGAAACTCGTGAGCTCGATCACAATCAAAACAGCAGCGTTCAGAAATCTAATGTCGATTGGCAAACCTATGAACAACTAGTGTTTCGACGGTTCGCCGCAAGTTCACTTTCTGTTTTCCTCCCTAAGGAAACGGGCTTTGGAAAGTCACTTTCTCGTCGCCCAGAAGGATGAATTTGCCGCGGGTTCTGTTCTCTTCTGTGGCATTCACCCGGCCTCTCGAGTGCTCCCTGGTATCTCTGCAGCACACATGACAACGCCTTGAGAGGGCAACCTATGAAGCCGGAGCTTCGT